AGTTATACTTTCGTTGATTTAATGATATAGATTGCAGTACGTGTTGGAGACTGGGGGGGAAGCAGCTAGAGGGTGGGATAAGGACTGAGAGGTTTGAGATGGGAGAGATGTGGGAGTTGGTGTTCTATCAGGAGGGGTATTAGGAGATGGAGGGTCTGAGGAAGGGGATACTTGTGACATAAGGGATTCATGTGTGTATCCAGGAGGGAGTGGAAGGGATAGAGGGGATGGTGGGAGGGTTAATGTGGGCGGGGTTGGGGTTGGGGTCGGGGGGGATGGGCTGTGTTGGGAGGGGGTAGGAGGATAGGGTGTAGGGGGGATATCGTTAGGAGGAGGATGGATATCAGCAGTTACTTGGAGTGTGGAAGGAGCAGGGGTTGTAGGTTGAGTGTCAGTTTGCATTAAGTAATCTTGAATATTTTCAATAGTTTCTTCTGAGGAGTTGGTTGGAGAGTTTTGGGGGATAAAGGATTTCTTGTGAGGGGGGGGGGAAGAGAGGACTGGTGTCTCAAGAGTAGGGGCAAAGGATGGTGGAGGTGATTGTGTGGTAGGGGAAGAGGGGGTGGAACGTTTGTTCTGTCTGTTACGGGGAGTGCGCGGAGGGAGAGGGGAAGGTGTTGGGGTTGTAGTGGTGATTGGAGTATCTGTAGTAGAGATTGGAGTTTCTGGATTTAGGATGGCAAAAGAGTTTGACTGGGGAAGGTAGGTGGGGTTAGTGGGGGGGTTAGATGTAGGAGAGATGTTTTAGAGATAGGGGTGGTAGAAGGGCGAGGGCGTGACGAAGATGGAGTAGTGTTGATGGAGGTAGTGTTATGGAGAGGTGGGCTATAAGGCTGTAAGGTATTAATAAGGGAGGATGGGGTGGTTGATGTTGGAGGTTGTGGGGGTAGAGGTGTTGAAGTTGGGCATGCTGGGAGAGTGGAAATGTTCCTTGAGGGTTGATTGTTGGCTACTGTACTAGTAGGCATTGGTGAAGGGGCAGTTATTGCAGTGTTCGGAGCCGTGGTCAAAGGAGAGCCTCGGGTCGGGGAATCGGGTGGGTTTATTTCTTTGGGGCTATTTGATAAAGGGGCAAGCCTCATTGCCCCTAATAGTGGGGATATATTTTCATTACTGGCCATGGTAAGCCTGGTTATGTTGGGGATAAAAATAGTCCACCCCTCAGGGTCCCCTTGAGGGGTAAGGGCTAGATACTAATCAGGGGAATACCGTGCCCATGGCTCCCTCAGGCCGTTCAGGACTGGCACAAAGTCAGCCTTTCATCCTTTCAGCACGGCTCTCACACCTTAGGAGGTGGATAGCAGAAGGGTTTGGTGAAGGGACAGAAACAAAAGTGGGAAGGGAAAAAAAGACCATGCATAATTAGTTGAGTCGAGGGCTGAGTCCCAAGGTTGGGGAGTTCCCCATCATTGGGTCCCAGTCTCTGCCTCCTAAGCCCCCCCACGACAACAACGGGCAAGGGATTGGGGGGGGTCAAAGGGATTGGAATGGTCTGAATTTAGGATAAGGTCATATGAGTAGATGTGGTTGTAGGGGTGGATGCGATAGGTGAAGATGGGGTGGAATGTTTAGCTCGTCTGGTGCAATAGGGGAGGCGAGGAAAAGCAGATGTAGGGGGAGTTGCGGTTACTGGAGTATCTGGACTTAGAAGGGGGGGGGGGGGAATGACTGGGAGATAGGGGAAGTAGAGGTGGGAGAATGAGGAGGATGGGGAAGAGGTACTGTGGAAGATACAGAGAGTTTGGGTAGAATGGAGAGGAGTGTAGGCGTGCTTCCTATCTAGCCACTCGTAGAGTAAGGCTACCTCAGACTCACTTGTAGGCAGGGCAGTTCCTACAAAATACAAATATGTGGTTGTGCAGGCTTGGCATAAAGGGTAGTGAACTGTGGGGCAACAGTACTACATTTCTGGTACTGACGGGGGGGGGGGGGGGGGGGCGACCTTTGCCGATATAGACCATATGGAGGTCATGTCTGCAGAAAGCAATATTGGCAATATTTATGTGGGACTTATGGCGGCCTCTAGGAGGAATAGTGTAGCACTGTATTGATACTGCATCATAAGTCAGCAAGACGGGCAAGTAGATAGTCTTCAAAGTCTGGCCAATCAAACAGGGCAATCAGCTGGAAACCGTTCTAGTACATGTATTAAGGGAGGAGTGGTGTTGGGCAGGAATAGGTTTACCATTGAGGTCAACCTGTGGTGTGGAGTGAGTACTGTAGGAAGAGGGTGGGGCAATCAGACCGGAGAGCTGTAGTAAGGGAGGTGGATGTAGGAAATGGAGACGATTGTGTAGATGGGGTGGAAGAAATTGGTTGTGAGGAAGGAGTTACAGCCTGGATAGATTCAAGATTGGTCAAGTTGACAGCATGTCGAAAAGGGGAGGGGACAATGTAATAGCAGTACTCGGAGCCATGATCACAGAAGAGTCAGGGGTTAGTTCAGAGGAGCTAGATTCAAGGGGACTGGCTGATAAAGGGACAAACCTCAGTGCCCCTAATAGGGGTACAAAATCTACATTACTGGTCGTGGTAAGCCTGATATACACGGGCTAAACGATGCGAGAAGGAACATGAGTAGGATGGATGGATGTCGGCAGTTACTTTGCATGTAGAGGGAATAGGTGCAGAGAGATTGGAAGATAAAATTTGTAGTCCAGTTATCTTTTGTCATTAGTTTTGAATGTTAGTTTCTGAAGTGGATTTCGTTGGGGAGGTCTGAGAAAAAATTCTTTGGAGGGGAAGAAGAAATAGGCATCTGTGGGGTAGAGCAAGAGGCAGGTGGAGGAAAGGGTATGGTAGATGTCAAATGATCAATTGGTCTACTACAGGTAGAGTGAGGAGAGAGAGAGGGTGGGAGAGGTGTCAGGAGTGGTAGAAATTGGAATCTGGATTTAGAATTGCAAAAGAACTTGATTGGGAGAGGAAAAGGTTAGAAATGGAACCGTAAGATGGAGGAATAAATACAGTGTAGGGGATGTAGGTAGGGCAACCCCTTATAAAATATATTGTAGGAGCTACCTCGATAGGCACTCATGTCACTGCGCACAGCAGTTTGATCATGACCAGGTAGAGAACAGAGGGTATTGAGCTTTGGAGCAGTAGTGTTTTACAAGGTGACCTAGATAATAAATTCTGACACTGACTGGGAAGAGGCTTGCATGGTCAGGGATGCTCCACCAATATAAACGTGAAGAGGGAGGTCATGTCTACAGGAAGTCCTTTTTTGATGGAGGATTTATAGTAGCATGGGGGGGGGGGGGGGTGATGGTGTAGCATTGTACTGATATTGAAACAGTCTACAAGATAGACAAGTCTTGTCTATAATCCTTGTTAGACAGGAAAGTTTGTTGGGGAGATGGAGACCTGTACTGAGGGAGGGGAGGAGGATGGGCAGATATAGGTTTGCCAGTCAAGGTTAATATTGCTTTAGCTTGGGATTTGGATGCAACTGACAAGGCAGGAACGGCCAGGACAGCTGCAGAAGGAAAGCCTGTTTGTTTCCGAGGCAGTGTTGGAAGAGGAGAGTGGTCAGTAAGAGGCTGTAGAGGGATAAGTCCATCCCATTTGGCTGGGCAAACAATACTCAGATTTGTAGAAGTGAGAGTAGAACAGTGCTTTATGGATAGAGTAGTGCTACAGAGATAATTAGACTACAGTAGATTAAGGGAAGAGGAAATAGTATACGTAGGACATTGAGAGAGGAAGGTTTCCTGGAAGTTTCCTGGAAGTCGAGCAAGTCTATTACTGGTCATGGTAAGCCAGGAGCAAAATGGTCCACCCCTTTAGGAGCAAAGGCTAGACCAATGCCATGGCCATGGCTACCCTAGGCTGTTCATGACTGGTACAGTCATCCTTTCATTCTTTCAACATGGCTTTCACACCTTAAAATGAGGAAAGTATTTTATGTATTGAAAAATTTAAGCGTTGACATCCAAGGCCATTAGCGGTGTATACAATATAGCAATATGGTGGGGCTTGGGGACAAAGCCTCCAGGTAAAGTTGTTCATTACTGCAATTTGGATTTCCAGAATGTTAAATGGTAAACAAATGTACCAGGTATCAAAAAGTTACAGCATTATGATAAATGCATTGTAGAAAACTGCAATAACAAGTGGATTACAGTAAGTGGAACAAGGAGATGAAAAGGTGGGGGTTACAGAGCGATGCAGAGGGAAATGGGTACTCATGTTCCATAAGATGGCAGCGTAATAAACACCGGTACAGCTGCAGTGACCTCATTTACCGCCGAAAGAATATTTGCTGCAGGTCACCGCTTAGAACAAGTCCACAATACCCTTTAGGGTTTCTGTAATTTGACATGGTTTTAACAAAAGGGGTTATTTGGGGGGGGGGGGGGGTTGCATCCCCTTGTTTAGGAAATTAATAGAAGGTAGGAAAGATGGTTTGAATCTTAGGCTTGCAGGTTATCCTGCATTTGGGATTTATCTGGAAAGGGATTATCGGTAACAGAAGATGAAAGGAGAAATATACCAAGTAATTTATTGGATCTAGGTGATATAGCTTATTTACATTGGGCCTCAGTCCAAGCCCCCCCACGACAACGAGCAAGGGATTGGGAGGGGGGGGGGGGGCGCTGAAAAGATAGTATGGTAGTGAAAAGAGTAGAGGGGGGAGAGCAAATTTAATACAGGTATTTGTAAAAGGAGAAGTGGTTAAGTGTTTATGGCTATTAGATCAAATGGAAGTTGGAAAATTAAAATAGAGAATGAGATGTTGGGGGGAAAAAATATCTAAATATCTAGCAAAAGGATTGTGATCAAAGCTTGTTCTATTCTAGCCTCATGGACATAGCCTGGGAAGCTCAGCTTCGCATATCTGATTTATTCTGGCCGAAGTTGGTTTTTCATTCCTTTGGTTTTGTTCACTAATAAATATAGCCCACACTTGTGCTAGTGCTCCAGAAAGCTTTCCATGCCGCTTCTGTGCAAGGCCATCTTGAAATTTGTTTGGATAATCAGTAAAACCACCTTGTTAAATAGAAGTAAACTAGTTATTAAAAATACAATAAAACTCCCTATATAAATGTCATAACAATACTATCCTCATCCCTACTCCACCTCCGTCGCCGGCTTCGCAACCTCGGCCGCGTCCCCTTCCGCGGGCTTGTCCTCCGCGGAGACCACCGTCAGGGACACCTTGGTCGTCACCTGGCCGTTTTCGCCTCCCGGGGGCGCCGCCGCCCCAGAGGACCGAGGTTCTCCTTCGCTGGCCTTCGTGGGTTCCTTCTTGAAGTCGTCCTCGGTGAAGGGCGCCTCGCTCTCCTCGTGGTCCGTCGACCTATACTCGAGGCTGTCGGTGGAGGTATCGCTTGGCTGGGGAAGAGGGCGGGAACACGAGATTAAAGTCACGAAAGTAAAGACTTTTACAGTTGCTTTTAATTGGTAAAATTAAAGGAGAATCCATTATAAACTATTCGTTAAAATATTAAAATGGTAAGGGTTGCCGAGAGCGCCATTCAAGAGATGGAAACCCAAATCAGTTTTTACATCTCATCTAACCAACGATCTTAAGGGATGTGTGAGGAACCGGGCGTTAAAAGGGGGATAATGGATGGCACTGGATGTCAATAGGAACCTGTAGAGGATTCATTAAACCTTAAGTATTTTTGGAAACGAGCCAACCTTCGAGTGAATCTCAGAATGATGCGCGCAAAGTCAGTTTACAGAAAGGGCGAGCCAAGTTTAACACTAAATGCTAATAAACCGTTTAGACACGTAAATAAACTATTATACTAACACAAAATCCAACCCAAACTTATCCACCTTTTAATTCCCTAGACGGGGGGGGGGGGGGCTGTAACACTTAGTACTTCGTGCTAAGTGACGTATTTGACGTTGTTAATTTCTTTACTACAAGTGTGGAGGGTATGGGAGTTGCACAATCAGAGTTGTTTGGAAATTTGAAAAACGCTCCGTGCATATCCTTAAAGGCTCTGCGCTACCGGCCTGGACGCCGTATATTGAAAAAATTACACGTGCCTATCAATAACTTATCACTAATGATCTATGATGAAAACGACAATACTGCTAAAGTAACATTCAAATATAAAATCAAACCAACTGCATCACAAGTTTGAAGGTCCTGCCCTGGCAGAAGCTTAAAAGGAAACTGAGGAAGTGATTGACTATTGTTCCAATATGGAAGGTAATTAGGATAAGCGAGCAGTAATATAGTGAACTTAAGAACGTACAGAAATAAGGCGAAACTAAACATTTGAGAAAGCACCCAAAGCTCTAGTAAAAAGTAATGGTAAGGATGAATGAAAAATTAATCTGAAGCGACTTCGTCTGTCAACATAATGCGGTCATTATAGAAAATTGACGTATTGAATATTTATAAAATGGAGTTATTGAAAGAAAACATTAAGGACATTATGGAGTTTGAGCCGACATGCAGAGCCTATTTTCGTGGTTTCCCCGGTATGTACGAGGCCGCTGCAGATACCTGTACTGCTTCCAACGCTTTTTTGGCTCTACGAGATGGCAGTAACCATTTTCCTCCATCTCTGTGCGTTGCTCTCGATAACATTAACCGTCAATATAAGTAAAATTAGGTTGCAGGTGTCGTACAAGACCAAAGCCCTTTACATCAACATAACCACCCCCTTTCCTTACCGAATAGTCAGGGTCCTCATCTGAACGGTAGTCTTCCATGTCGTGAAGAAGGTCCAAGTGACTCATTTCCTCGACCGAGGTGGCGTCTTCCGTTTCCACGTCAGAAAGCTTCCTCTTCTTGTCCTGTTGAAAAAGCAAGTTAATAATATCCACAAAATATCAAATTTTGGACAGTCTTAAAGTAGTAGTTAAGTATGACTTGCTTCAACAAGAAGTGTTAAATCTTAATACCATAAAAGATTGGAGTCTTAGATTACTGAATTGGAGTTTTGAAGTCCTACCTCTGTAGTTCCCTCCTGCTTCTTGGGGCTGGAGGTCAGTTCGCGGTCGAGCTTCGGGAGTTCCGCCGGGGAGAAGTGAGCGGGACTTGAAGCCAAGCCAAACACGGCCAAGAAACTAGTTAGCCACGCCCACAGACCACTACTGGGCTGGTCCTTCGTAGATTTGCGGGGAGAAACCTGTTGGGGAAAAAAAGTCAGGTTTTGACGTTATTTTAAGCACAGGATATGTGTATATATATATATATATATATTTGTTTTTGTGTAAAAGGGGTACTTCCTTCAGACACGGACCTTCCTGCGGCGTTTGATACGGTTCTCAACAGCCGTGTGCACCGCGCCAGAACGCCTCAAAGCCCTTACAGTTCGCCTTCCGTTGCGCAGCTGCCGAGTCTTAAAAAGATGCAAACTCAAAATAGCTTCCTTAATTCCCTTCAAATATCACATTCGAGAGGTATAGTCTAATGACAAATTGAAACTACAATACTACAGAAACATCACATGCAAGACTAATTTACAAATCCTCTATTACAGTAAACCTTGAACATCCTCGCATGGTATACATACGGTATTAGCCAAAGCAGGACCGAGTGTGTAGTTATAGAGGGTTTTCAGTGGCGAAGGGAAGATCCAAGCGAACCAGTTTTCCTTTCCTGTCAGAAACAAACATTTTACATACGAAAGAGCTAAAATAACGTTTGATAATATCTTTGATCGACACCAACTCCTACTTACTGTCTATCCGCAAGGTATCGCAAGCAACTTCAGCAGTCTTTATGGCAGCCTCTGTTGCGCGGCAGGTGGCTTGACTCACAGAATAGGAGGCCACGCGACTCGTTCCCAGCTGGATCTTCTGGCGGACGTAAACGGATGTCCGCTCGACCACCTAGGTAAAGAGGCGGACTTATAAAATGTCGAGGTTCAGCGAGATGGAAATTCTTGGCAGTCTTTACATATTAAAAGGCGCTGGCAGACAAGTTTTAGTAGGCAAACATGCTTAAACCTCATAGATTAGAATTTATCTTAATCGCATGTTGCAAAGTGTTAAAAGATACACAGCGCAAATTAAAGCTCAAACTGGCAATTTGTCGACAGTTTGCCGTCTCTGAAAAAATGTGCAAGTGCCTACCTTAAGCTAAAAGTGGAGTGATAAACTAAAAACCTTACAAAGCTCGAAAATAGTTTCAAAGTTACACCTTGCTTTTGAAAAAGCATACCGTAATAAAGGAGATGTCAAGTCCATTACTTGTAGACATCAAAAGGTAATTAGTGAAAGCTTAGAAAACTGACCTAATGAAAAAGGCTGATCTATATGAAGCAACATTTCTTAAGACCTAGAGAAGTTTAAGTTTGTGGGATATCAATTTTTCTCAATCGTCACCGAAGTTTTCGTTGCCATGGCGATAATCATTTGATTAAAACCTGCAACATCCCTCTCCTCATTTGATCTGAAAGCCATGAACTAATAAATGCCAAGTTCACCATAATCTAGGGTAACAATCTGGAGCAAGAAGATGCATAAAATGGCAGCCAGGCCACGCCTGGTAATTACAAGGCGCGTGGGCTGGATGCCACCTTGGAAAACTGAACATTTTCTGAACCGCCCAACGAGTAGGGTATCAAACTGGAGGTCATCCTCAGGAATCTGAAGACCTTGCATTCGGCAGACGGCAGATTTTAGGTCCTGATATTTCGTTCCAGGGTCAATAACAGGCCAATGAAGTGATACGTGATTTGGTAGGTATAGGGCATTACTTGCCAAACAAGCTTTCAAACTAGCCTTTATACGAAAATCTTGTAAAATCGGTAAATTGACATCTTAACTGATAAGATCTTGAATATTTGAAGTGAGAAACTGACGGTCACAGCGGAAGTTACGTGACGCAGATGTAGTCAATATATTGGTTTATACACGCGCCACGGTTTCGGACGCTGCCAAATGCCCTAATTTACGTAGCGACATGACCTACTTAAGGGTAGTTAAGGGAATATTGTTTAAGAGGCCGACCTTGCTAAAGTCGCTAAACTAGACGTAGTTCGGTTTAATATTCAGCCACTGGAGATTTATTTACTTTCTAATAGGAACTATAACCAGTGCCCGTGTACTAACCTCCTCCGTAGGTTTCTCGATAACAGGATAACTTTTCTTCAAGTTATCTACCACATGGAGGCCCAGTTCCTCCGCTTTGAGAACTGAAAAACAACGACTGAAGATATATTACACAAGTTTACATCTATCGAAGTATCCACCAACACAATTCTACTACAATAAAAATGCAACCATTTACAGTAATAAATCGCCGTGGTTGTTTCGGCACAGGATCGTGACTTTGGCCATTCGTCCTGCATGCACGCGCACCAACTCTTCGCGCACGAAGACTTTCACGCTCGCGCACATGCAATAATGGTTTCTTTAACATTTCACTCCAGATTCGTCGTCTGTCTGTGATGGGATATTTTACCGGCAATCTGTCGGACACCTGTGCTGAAGAGCCATTTTCCCGGCAACATTGCAGGATGCCATATTCGATGCAAGCGTACACCAGGTCGGAGCACTTCAACTCCTTACCGTGTGCGCTTCAAAGCTACAGCAAAAGTCCTTTAATTTTCTCACGTAAAATGGTGTGAAAGCGACATATTGCTATTTCCTCACTTTCATCGAGTGCGCAGAGTTGATGCACAAATCTCGGACGAATGGCCAAAAAGTCACGAGATCCTGTACCGGATCGATCACCACAGCGTTAATAAAATTGTACAAAAAGGTGCAAGTCCTCCCCACCTGACGTCTTGACCACACTGTACTCCTCCGCCTTCGAAGCGACCACCTTCGTCGTCAGCAGAGCGGTCGCCGTCAGCCAGTCGTAAAGCGGCACCGTACTACAAAGCTTCTCGTGGGTGGTTGAGACCTAGTGAAAGAAGAATTATTAAAAGTAAATTATTAGTACATGAGAAACTTGGGCAAGGCGTTCGCGAGTGCGGATCTGGTAGGAAATGTAGAAACAAGACAGGCAGTTCTTAAAGTGCGGTGATTCAATATTCTAATAAAACTTCAGAAGTGAGAAGTTATAAACACTGGCCAACATACGTCAACATCGAGCAATCAAATGAAAGTTTTCCTTCAAATCTTTTAAGCTTGAAAAGGCACGTGAATAAGCACTTGCTAATTGCATGGCAGAAAAAAAACTAAAATACATTGATTTATCTGTAATACTATCGCTTCGTTGAAATAATCTAAGTAGAAACAAATGGCGCAACATCCTCTTCTAAATTACGATAAAAAAAGGTAATTAAAATCCACATCGAATTCCTCCCATCGATTCCCATACCCCGTTCTCTATTTCCTTATTTATGATCACTTATTTCCTTTAACTATTACTATTACTATTATCTAAACTTGCCTTCTGCGTGACGGACGAGACCAGAGGGATGCTAACGACCTCCTTGACGAGCTTCCTGGGGTGGGCTTCAGGAACGACCACGAGAGGTACAGCTTCGGGGGCCATGACGACGTCTGAGCGGGCTTACTTCTGCGTCTCTGACACTACCTCCACCCGCCAATCACCTCTCGCCTTGGAGAGCCTCGACCAATCAGCTCTTCGCTATGGGAGCTTTGACCAATCGCCTTTCGTTTTTTAGAGACATGGAGAGTTAAGCCCCGCCTACATGAAATATGACCAATCCGAATTCATGATGTTTAAACAGACCAATGGCAGCCGTCTGAGTTACTGTTGGCTGTTAAGAGGAAGGTGATTGGTTGATGGATGTAAACAAGTTGTTTCATGTTTGTGGTGTTAGCTTTTTACTCTTTGTTAGTGAATCTTAAATTACATTTATTCATTTAGTAAGTTATTAATGTATTCTTGGTGTGATGTTTTTTATACGAATTAAACATTTTTTAGATTATTTTGATTGGCATTATTCTGTTATAAATTTTAAAATAATGTTGTTAAACGGAATTGGTTGTTATGTGTTTTACGCACACACAAACACGCACACACACACACACACCCACACACACACACACGCACATGCAGATACACACATATATATGTATGTACATGCATATATAGGTATATAAAAACATACCTGTTGTTTGTTTGTTTGTTTGTTTTTTTTTGCCATATGACAATGTAACTTTCCCCTCTCTAGTTCTCTTTACCGCATTCCGTAAAAAAAGACACGGACGATTTGGTGAAAAATAGCCTATTTATCTTGGCAATAAAACAATTCATCTGGTTCATTTATAGCCCCTTAATTCAGACCGTAAAACACAAAGCAAGAAAACAACTCTATGAACAAACAGCAACAGATATCTCCCTAACTACAAAAAACAAAACAAAACAAACAAACAAAAAAACGCGAGACAAACAACTGGCAGTTAAAGATTTGCTGTATTTTTCTCAATTACATCTACTTCAGTTTTCATTCATCAATCATTGCTATTATTTTACAGGATGTTATTTACATTGATTTTCGTCCATCAGTTGTTATTCTTATTGTAGTTCTCATGTTTATAATGATCTTAATTTCTTTGGGGAATGTTGTGTGTTTTTAAGGATCAGGGGTAACTTTATTTGGGTTGTTTTTATGTACTGTATGGCTTGTTATGAATGTATTGAAATGTTTTCTTATGTTTACGTATGAGCGAGTGTGTGTGTGTGTGTGTGTGTGTGTGTGTGTGTGTGTGTGTGTGTGTGTGTGTGTGTGTGTTGACTATCGGATTTTTCTCTGCATCTCAAATGCTCATCACAGTTGGCAGGCATTGTCGAAGCCTTCGGGTTTAGAGGGAATTTTAACCTGTAGGAAACGCCTAGGGGGTCCAGACTCTCCCTCAGTCTGTCTCCTGTCTAGGTCGCTTCGGACCGCTCTTTCGGCTAGTATTCTGGGCTCTGGTCGTCGGAACAGCAGCTGTTGGGCTGACTCAGCTTGTGCTCCCATCTCTGCCAGGGAGGACGTCTGAGGGGAACTCAGAGGCCTCCCTGGCCTGCTGCAGGCCTGGAGAGGCCAGCACGAGAGCCCATCTGCTGGACAATTTCGAGGACAGACATATTTTTGGCAGATTGGTTTTCAGTCTTGTCCATCTTATCAGCAGGTCTGACAGAGTCATCCTGTGCTTTGCATTTTCGCGTGTCACTAGAAGCCACGTATGGCTTCAAAGTAACTTGCTTGGTCTGGGCCTCGCAAGGTTCGTCATCATTTGTATCTATTGTGGAGGGTTTTGTGAAATATTTGTCATGAAAAACCCACCACGGAGTCCAACAAGGGGAAGCTGAATGTTAGAGCTAATGTCTAACAGCTACAGGGGTGGCGAGAGGATATACGCAGCCAATAGCCATTGTAACGGCACTCACGGACCAGTGTCAGTGCCAACGGCGGCATGACTGCTTGACCCTAGCCTCCCGAAGGAGACCAGCTGATTGACCTGACCGGGCCAGGATCAGGCCGCCTGTCTTGCTGGAATAGAGGACCAAAGAGGTATGTTGCTAGCCGCAGGGCGTACTCATGCACGGCATTGCTCAACCTCCAGGACTTCCGTCTCCACAGTGCGCAAGGCTGCCACGCACGGCAAACACGTGGGTAGGT